CTGGTCAGAAAAGCCTTTCGCTAAGATTTTTACTGGCCCACCGCACTACGAGATATAGAGGAGGTCATCCGTAGGTGTGAGGGATGCCAATTCTACGCTCAGCAAACTCATTTGCCGGCATAGGAGCTCCAAACCATCCCCATCACCTGGTCATTCGCGGTCCGGGGCCTCGACATAGTAGGACCCCTCCAAAAGGGCCCGGGCAGCTTCACTCACCTGCTCATAGCGGTCGACAAATTCACCAAGTGGATAGAGGCCAAACCCATCACCAACATCTGCTCGGAGGAGACGGTCAAATTCTTCCTCGACATCATCTACTGGTTCGGTGTTCCTAACTGTATCATCACTAACCATGGGACTAACTTCACCGAGAAGAAGTTCCTAGACTTTAGTGATGGATACAACATCAGGATCGACTGGCCTCGGTCGAACATCCATGTACTAATGGTCAGGTCGAGCATGTCAATGGCATGGTCCTCCAAGGACTTAAGCCACGCATCTTCGACCGACTCAACAAGTATGTCGGGCGATGGGATGCAGAGGTCCCCATGATCCTCTAGAGCCTAAGAATGATCCCGAACTGATCCACAAGGTTCACACCCTTCTTCCTAGCCTACGGAGCTGAAGCAGTGCTACCTTCCGACCTCGACCACGACACCCAAAGAGTGAAGGCTTTCAACCGCGACCGAGCCACGGAGGCACAGCAAGACACTGTCGACCTGCTCGAGGAGGCCTGTGAGACGACCGTCATCCGCTCCGCTCGCTACCAGCAAACTCTCCGTAGGTACCATGAAAGGAAGATCAGGGGGAGGATCCTCAAAGTCTATGATCTCGTACTCCGAAGGACCCAATCAACGAAGGAGAAGCACAAACTCTCTCCACCATGGGAAGGTCCCTATACGGTGACCGAGGTGATCCGACCGGGCGCCTACTGACTGAAGGACGATAACGGCAATGTTCCCACCAACACTTGGAACATTGAACAGCTACGTCGTTTTTCCCCTAAATTCGGTCTTACCGCTTTTATTCAACACTTGCTCTTTTTTACTATCACATGGTCTTTTTGCCCAAAACGAAAGGGCATTCCATTCCTTTGATTATCCTACATGACTTTGTTTTTACTCCCGACCGAGCGCACCCTGCCACGACCTACGGTTACGAGCAGCTGAGCCTCGTGGGCCACGCCCGGGCTCTTAAAGTTGCAGCCTACGAAACGAATGGACATGTGTGAAAAAGAAAGGATAAAAACAAACCTATGCTAGGATAAAAAAAAGGAACGGATAGTGATTGTATCACAAAGCAGAACTGATGTATTCATTGATACAAAAACTATTCACACGGGGGCTCCTCCACGAACTTAATGATTACATTCGCTGACTACTTCTACTCCAAATGCTACTGTGGCTGCTCAATGGCATCAGCTGATGTTAAAGGTAAGGCCATGGCACATGCTACCAGAAATAAACACCACCGCAAGGGCCCCGCCCGGTTCTGCTCCCTCAACTTCGGCGAGCGCAACGGGTACCTCAAGGGCATCATACCCGTACATGCTCAACAGAAGAGCATGGAGCTCTAGACCTAAGCGGCCCTCGCCCAGTCTGCCCCAAAGCATACAGGGTCATCTCAACCTTCTCATTCGATCCTAACCACGGCCAAACCCATAGAATCTCCATCGATGGGAGGCCAGCGGACCACCCGGGTCGGTCTCCGAAACGACCCAAGCATCTGCCGGGTTGCAGGTTAAGGAGCAGTGGAGTGCCACATCAGGGCTATGCCGACCCCGTCACGAACGATGGACCCGAACTTCACTCGAATATGCCTGTTAGCGAGCTCACCGAGTGCGTCGCTCGAAACATTGAGGCAAGCGACGTTGGCTCAGCCCCTCTGGTTGCGAGAAACTGCGAACGGGGTAACGGACAAAACTCAACCGACCCCTACCAAGCCCGACAGGGCTCACGGGCTCGAGATCCCTAAAACTGCCTCGGTTGTGCACGACGGGTCCGCGAGTCCGCCTCGCCCGATCCCTCGACTGGGCCTGACGCCAGGATCCACGAGCTCGTCTCGCCCGATCCCTAAATTGCCTCGGCTGCGCACGATGATTCCGTGAGTCTGCCTCGCCCGATCCCTCAGTTGCGCCCGATGCTAGGATCCGCGAGCTCGTCTCGCCCGATCCCTAAATTGCCTCGGCTGCGCACGATGGATTTCTCTTGCAGGTAATTCCCTATTTTGATATCTCTGATTTCGTTTGTTTTCATTATCCTGCGTTCTTCCATAGTTGTGCCTCTCCCTGTATGCAGCCTTTTCTGATCAAGGGTGAATGCGTTGAGGTGCTGAACTTTACTTAAATGCAAACATTACAGGTTGCTCAAAGTTTGGATCCCGGTGAAATTAGCCCAACATTGGGCAGTAGGGATAGGTATTCTAAAAAGAATCCAGTTTGTATGTTGTCACCATAGTCATCTGATGTTAGTTTGGATAACATAAGTCTACAACCACCCAATATTAAGCAACATCAAATGGGTGATGTAAGCCATCAACAATCATGTGTCATGTGCTTTCTTGCTTTTATTTGCTCTGCTCTTAATACAGAGCTGGGGGTGTTGTTGTGCTGATGGGTGTCTTTGTATAAGACAATAAAGTCATACATGTTTAGTTATTATGCTGTGAATTCAACCAATAGTAGTGTCTTTCATGTCTTTATTATGAACAATTTGATCTGTTTGATGTTAAACGATAAATATAATTTTGAGGAATGGCATTATTAGTGAAAGAATATATATGTGTGACGCCAAAAGGATTACCGCAAATTTGAATGAAGTGTTTTGGTCGAGATAATTCATAATAACATCATCATCTAAATATTACACGGGCATACATGATTATTGTCCCGTTGCAACACACGGGCACTCACCTATAATAAGTGAAGACTCCCTTCCAAGATGTTATCGTGAGTCAGCCCAGCAACGGCTAGTCACGTAGCGGGAAAAAGGGTGCGCGCGGATGCCCGGCCGGCGTGGCGGGAGTTGGGTCGGTCGAACGAGATTGACTGGGCCGATTGGTTTGTTAGCACGATGTTTTAGTTGGTTAGATTGGTTTTTGACTTAGCAGGATAATTTATATAGTATAGATATATAATGTATGTGTTGCTTGTCCCAAAAAATGTATGTGTTGCTAAAAAAAGATACATAATGTATGATTATTCCGTGACTTAGGATATAGAATATATAATGTATGATTATTCTTCAGTACAAATTAATTAAAAACTAGTACATATGTAGATTGCATTGCATAATACTCCGTAGGAGGATAGGACGGATCGGATACACACATATATACAAAATATATAAGATGAATATACATATATGTATATACTTTATTCATTTCTTTATGGTCGAGCTTACATACATACATACATACAATAATAATAATAATATAAATATAAAGTATTACAATGGGTCGGATGGCGTACGCACGTGTTCATCGTCTATATCTATATCTAAATATAAATATAATATAAAATAATAAGTGGGCGCGCGAGAGTATACTCCATTACATACAAATACAACATATATGCATGCGTGGTACGTCTAATAATTTATATATCCGTTGGGCGAAGCAGAAAATCAACGATGTTCCAAGCATCGAGCATACCGTTGACGTTACTATTCTTTTTCACTTTGTCAGCAAGACTCTGATATCGACCTTTAGTAACACCCCAGTGTTTGGTTCGGTCCCACAGAATGAGGAGCGTTGAGAGCGATCCCCAGTCGACAACATACTTTGCCTTGTCCTCAGATATGAAGGTCTCCTCCCAGTTCTTGCCCGAGAATGTGTCGCGGAACACTTTGAACCGCATGGCTTCACAAAACATGACCACACACCTAACCAGCCCGTCTTTGAGTTGGGGTTTGTTTTGTGGCAGAGAGTCGTATCTTGCAAGTCCCTTGGTGGCATGTATGGCCGATTGTTTTCCTAAAGGAATCATCCAAAGATTCTTGTGACCTCCTTCAATCATTTCTCCATAATTCTCTCCAATCGGTAGCTCGATGGCTCCCGCGGGTAAACCTTGGAATCCGCCACTAAACTTGTACCAATGGTTAGTGGCATTACTGAAGCCAATAAGATAGAGATCATCAATAGCTATGGCTAGTGTCACCTTGTCTTCTTTTGCTACGCCCTCAATGTGGATGTAGATCCACCCAGGCGGCTCGCCATGGAAATCGCGACGTTGTTGCCCGAGGACAAATTTTCCAATCACATTTGTGGGGTTATATTTTGGCGTGCTCGGGCGCTGCAGCAGCTCTTTTAGCTTGCTGTACACATGCTGGTAATTTTGAGTTTTAAGGTTAAAATAGATATGGTGGATAGGTGGAGCTGCTAAAGCCAAGCTAAGGGTGCAAAAGCAGGCCACTAAAAATATGAAAACCTTGCGCTGCGGCATGGTTAGCTTAGTTGGGATTGGCGGATCCAGGAGTAGGTGTGGGGGACATGTGCCCGTCCCGGCCGGCGATGAGGGCAGACAGGCAGGCATGCAGGTGCGCAACAGGTTGCTTGAATAATTCCTTTACCTCCCCTTATTATGAGATATATATATATACCGCCGCCTGCACAACAGGTTGCATATATGCCGATCGACACACCATATGCATGATCGAGCATGAATGCATGATTCATATATGCCGGCGGCCCGGCCGCATGCATATGGGATGCATGATCCATGAATTGAGGGCCGGATGGATCGCATGCGCAGCGCGCAGATCGATTATCTCATCTCAACGGTGGGATGCATGCATATCGGACGACTCTGTCTCTAGCTATCCTTTGGTTGCCAAGCGACCAACGACTGCGCATCTATCTGTATGCCGCGCCGCCCGGCTGCACTGCATCTGTATGCCTCCACCTCCCTCGTATGCTATACGCATCTTCATTCTCCAGCCGCCACACCTAGCCCCCCTCACCTCTCCGATCCGATCCAATCCACAGGACTTGGAGACCGATCGATGGAGCAGTTACCTGACGACATGCTGGCCAATGTCCTGGGCCGCCTCCCTCCCAGCAGCCTAGCGGCGTCACGCTGTGTCCGCAAGCACTGGTGCTCCATCATCGACGCCCGACGCCTCCTGCGCGCCGACCTCCTCCCTCTTCGCGTCGAGGCTTTCTTCTGCAACAGCTACTTCATATTCAATCGCACGTTCCTCTTCGCACGCCCCACGGCGGCGATCCGAATCCCCGGCGGCCACCTTGACTTCTTCGACGACGATGACGTCTCTCCGATAGCCATGGATCACTGCAATGGTCTCCTCTTGCATTACGACATGGTGGTTAACCCTGCCACACGACAATGGGCCACCTGGCCTCCCGTACCACAACACCTGGATGACTTGTCTCCGTCGTATAGCCGCCACTGCTTTGCCCTTGTATACGATCCCATGGTATCGCCTAATCACTATGAGGTGTTTCTTATCACCTTACCTGGTTCTGGTTATGTTTACAACCACAACGATGGTAGCAGAAGTCGTATCTTCGAAGACGACGACTTTCAGCAAGAATGGCCGCCATCGTCATACACTGTGTATGTCTTCTCCTCCTCCACCAAAGAATGGAGGTGGGAGGAGAGGTCCTTTGTTCGCCGCCAAGGAGGGGAGGCTGTTGGGACCATCGCCGATATGCATATCGACGAATCCAGCAGTAAACACAAGACGGTCTATTTCCGGAGATCACTTTATGTGCATTGTCCAAATGATTCCATCATGAGGTATATATGTATGTTAATTATGTTATGTCAATTACCCTGCAGGTCCCTAATCCATGCATGCATATATGCCTTCAATTAATTAATTCAATGACGTTGCATGATCTACAGTCTCATCTTTAATTAATTGATTTTCAGACTATCTTTGTCCGATGACAAGTACCAAATGATTAAACCACCGCCAGCAGCAGGGAGCAAAACTAAAACTAGTTGTCATTGCGATGCTTCTTCTTATTTAGGAAAATCAGAGAAAGGGGTATACTATGCGATCCTTGATTTGGATGGCCCCCAATTTCAAGTTTGGTTGCTCACTGAATTTTCTGGTCAGAGTCAGACAGAGTGGGTGCTCAAGTGTAACGTCAGCCTTCTAGCAACGCTGAATTTCGCCCGTCATATTAATGCTGAATACGGCGTCGACGGACCATGGATCCTTAACTACGAGGAGAAGGAAGCACAACCTACTGCACAAGAGGAGGAGTTTGCTGAATGGGACTTTGATAATGCTGTTACCGTCCTTGAAACCGAGACCAATGACAAGACGGGTTCAATAGATTTCCTTGGTTTTCATCCTTACAAAGACATTTCCTTCCTTTTCATATCAAATAGGGTAATATCTTATCATTTGAACAGCTCAAAGGTTCAAGATTTAGGCACCATAAATATACCTCAAATGGAAGACGCATTCCCATACACACCATGCTGGATGGGGGAGTTATCTGAAAAGAATAAAGCATAGCCTAATATCAAAGGCAGCTTCAGTTTGGCATCAATTATTATTGTTTATTTTGGAGCAGACTATATATATCTTTCTACTTTATTAGTAGCTTATTAGCCCATATAAATGTAACAATTGATTCCTCCCCACTTGTGCGGGTCTCCAACTCTGGTTTTATCATTATATATAGATCTTCACATCATGTTTTTTTTTGTGGTGATATGATAAATATGCGCGATGTCCTCTTTCAACAGATGAAAAGATAGTCACCAAAGATAACTAACACAGATTTTTCTTTCTTCAAAAAAACTCTAGATAAATTGAGTAAGATTCCCTAACATCATACCATTAGAGTCGAAACTCAAAAGCAGCACTGAGTAGTTGTACGTGAAATAGTCACAGCACAAGACAGAAAACAAGATTTCCAATAACACGACACATTACTTCCTAATGAGTGTGTTCCAGTAACATGACGCATTTCTTCCTAATGAGTGTGTTCAGTAACACGATGCATTTCTTGCTAATGAGCGTGGCAAGAATGAGCACTCCGATTGGTAATGGAAATTAGACCAACAAAATAATACTAGGAGAGTCTTTTCTTTAGCAACTAGATGAGGTGAAAATTTTGTTTCAGCAATGTGTGAGCACATCATGTGCACATTATAAATCAAAAAAGAAGTGCAGAACGTGCAAATTTTCCCTTTGCAAAAAAGTGCAGAAAATGTGCAGATTTTCTCTTTTTTCTCACAATATTGTTACTGAACCAAATGAATTTTCTACAGAAAAAAATGTTCAGAACTACGAACTGAGTGACCCTTCATCACCCAATTCGCAGTTCATTGCACAATGAACTCGCACATAAATCTAGCTGAGCTGCTTTCACAATTCTACACTCGTGCCTTACGTTGTGCTATTACATTTCATAGTGCAAAAAAAAAATTAGGTCTTATCACCAAGGCAATGCTACGGTACCCTCTTTGCTTAGTGGGAGGTAATACCTTAAACAAATCCGGACCATTGATTTTATAGATTTTTTTTAGATTTATTTGATTGATTAATTAAGCAACGAAAAGAAAAAAAGAAGAAGTGGGCGTGGGGTGCCCCTGCCTTGGTGAGACCGTGTGGCACCCTTCCTTTTGGCTATTTTACTATATTTAAGCATAGTTTTATTTATATTATTGAATCACAAAAATATACTAATAATAATTATGTTATTTTTTATGAGCTTTCTTTACCACTACGTAAAAAACAGTTTTTAGCAACGGGAGGATTTTTTTGTAGGGGCAGCTGGTGATGGAGCCGCCCCTACAGTGGCGTGCTCGGGAGCCCAGACACCAGCCGCCCCTACAAATGGAACAGCAGGGGCGGCTGGTGATACGAGCCGCCCCTACAAATGGGTCTGATTTGTAGGGGCGGCTCACTCACCAGCCGCCCCCGGAGTTGATATTTGTAGGGGCGGCTGGTGATTGAGCCGCCCTACAAATGCCCATGTACAGTCGCTGCCCATCTAAAATATCTACTGACCTCTTCTCTCTCTCTCCGTCTTGACTCCCTCTCTCCCTCGCTCTCCCTCTCCTCCGAGCCCCTCCGTCTCTCCCCCATGCCGCCCCTCCCTCTCCCCCACGTGGTGACGGCCGGGACCTCCCTCTTCTCCGCGCGACGGCACCCAGTGAGGCGCATGGCGTCAAGACCCCCTATTCTCCGTGCGGCAAGATTTCGCGGGCGCACCCTAGGGTGGCGGGGGTTCAGGGGCGCGGCCTCCCGGCGATCGCGCGGGGCTCGGTGCCCTCCTCCAGCGCCGGTAGAGCTCGGTGCCGTGGCTCGGTGGCGCGGCCTCCCGTCGAGCTCCAGCAGTGGCGGGACTTGGTGGCGCCACGCCTTCACCTTCTCTCTCCGGCGCCTTCTGCTGGAGGCCGATGAAGCACATGGTGGCGGCCACCACCAGATCCGGCGAGGATGAGCTCGATCCGGCGAGGACCAGCCAGATCCGAAAGTGCCCACCACCAGATCCCGCGAGGAGAAGCTCGATCCAGCGAGGACGAGCCTGGATCCATTGCTTTGTTTGTTTTTCCCATGGCCGCCCAGATCCTCCTCGACCGACATCTCCTTTCTCCTTTCCAGCCGCCATATACATCAAAGAACACAAAGGATTGAGGCTACTCCATCCAGGCAGCAAGGTAACCCAAACTTCTTCTCAGATCTTTGGATGGTACAAAGCACACTTATTGATGTTTTTGGATGGTACAAATGAGTTCTGTCTTGCATGTGTCCTCTAAATTATCTGTTGAAACCTTTTTGATCGTTAACATCTCTGCTAGACCCCCATGTTGTCTAATTTTCTAATAAGTAAAATAACTTCCTTGGATAAATTTACTTTGATACAACATGAAAAAGGTATTGTATCATGATTGGGCATTTTTTCTATAATTGCAACTTAATTCTTTTAAGAATTTTAGAAATGGATATCCATATTCTAGTTAGGATGGCAATGCTAAGAAAATCATTGAATTTTAGAATCATTTGCTTTATCTTCTGTTTTTGGTGGCAATATTCTTTGCTCTGACCTCTGAGTACTCTTTCCCCAACAAGCCAGACCTAAATGCATGAATACATGTGAATGATGTGAGCTTTACTTTTGTTTGCTGGATGGCATAGAATGAACAGCCTCCTCCATTATGTGTTGCTGTTGTAGCTTAAATGATTTATGTAGTCATCTTTACTCCTTATGTTATTTATAGGAAGAAACATGAGATAATTGTACTTTAGATGACAATGTTGATATATGAGTCATGAGCAACAAAATGGTTGAACAAATTGCTTCATTTTGTTATAAAAGTTAAGTAGGAATATGCATAGCCTTTTGTGATTCTTGCTTATGTCCAGGTCATATACTGTACGGTATACCGTAAAAAGCTTTCAGCTTTCAAGAGCTAATAGAGAAATGCTACAGCAAGCTGAATGCGATATTCAGGCCAATTCCATTTTCTTTTTTTTCATTCTCCTTGAACCATTAGGTTTGTTTAGGATCATCATGGAATAATCAACATGTGTTCCTTTTTAGTTACTATTGTACTACCTGCGTGTATTGATTTCCCACCTTGAGTTTCATTTGCAGCCACTATGTTCAACCTATAAGTGCCACCTGGTTGGTTTTATTATGTTGCCACTATGATATATGCTCTGGCAGCTATTCTGACAATAAGTTCAATTATACTATATCAGAACTATTCATGTTGGTAATTCTTACTTTGTCAGGTATTTATGTTAGGGTGGTTAACAGGCAACCCACCCAAAAGTTAGGGGCCAATGGTAGAGACGATGGTCCACTAGTAAGTATTTTTTGTTCTGAAATTTGCTATTCTGTTTATTTTTTTTTTTGCTAAGGCAGTATACATTTTTTTACATCATCTTCCTGCATTCATCAGCTACAGTTTCTATTGTATATCTCCTTTTGCCAAAGGATGGCTAGTCCAGTTGGTTAACTGAGATATGCTAGTCACTCCAGCGGCACCCTCCAGGTCCTGAGTTCGACTCCCAGTGGGAGCGAATTTCAGGCTGGGGGTTAAAAAAATCCCCTCGCCAGTCCCGGGTGCCAAAGCACTGGTTTAAGGAGACGGCCCATCTTACCGGTTACGTCTCCCAGTGTCGGGCCGGGGCCGGGGTTTGGTGGTTTTCTCGGCCTGTGTGAGAAGGCCTTCTTCTTACGTATAATGCCTGGGGGGCGGCTTGCCCCTCGCAGGTCGAGTTTTTTTTTTATATCTCCTTTTGACCTTGAACATTTCTATGTTCCCAGTTAACAAATTACCTTAAGGAGGGACCTAACAAAATTTCTCTATTGAGAAATGACTCTCGTACTTTCTGTTCTTTTTTTATTCTTACCATGCTTGGAGTCTTAGACTTTTGATTATCTTCCAAGTGAATTCCATTCCATTGTAAGGCCTTGCCACCTTGGGAGGATGGCTATTTTATATGCCCAGAAATATTCTATGTGGAACTTGTACATTTGGTGTATAGCAAAATTCCAATTCCATGTTAGTCTTCGCTAGGATCTGTGTTTTGTAGTGAAAAAACTAATCAGAGAATGATCACCCACCCACATTTTTTAGATGTTTGCTAGGCTATTAATTAACCGAGGGCTTTAGTTGTGTACCGACTGTTGTATTAGACAAAGGCCATTAGGCTTTGTATATTCCTTGATAATAGATTACGTAAGGGATTATACTTATATAGGAGAGAGAGGGATGGCCCAAGGGGCAGTGAGTGTGAAAGGGCGATGATAATCGGGCGCTGCGCTGATTAGCTAGGAGATTACATAGAATGAGCAAATAATTCTAACACTTCGCAATGTAACGTCGGTGGAGCTTAACGTTCAGATTGGAGCGAAAGTCCATGAACACGAAGACGGAAGCCCTTTGGTGAAGACATCCGCAAACTGTGAGGTGGTGGGAACGTGAAGCACATGAACAAAGCACCAATAGCAACACGTTCTCGGACGAAGTGGAGGTCGATTCCACACGTGCTTGGTGCTACCGATCTTTGAATGGGGTTGGAGGAGAGGCAGATGGCACGACGTTGTCGCAGTGAGACGAGGGAGGCATCAGTAAAGGGTGGTGCAGCTCGAGAAGTTGTTGCAGCCGGGATGCTTCGGCAACGCTTGCTGGCAATGACCGATACTCTCAGCCTCGGCACTCGACCGAGAGACAGTGGGCTGCCGCTTGGAGGACCAGGAGATGAGACTGCCCCCGAGGAAGATCGCATAGCCGAAGGTGGAGCGTCGAGTGTCAGGGCAGCCGGCCCAATCCGCATCAGTATACACAACAAGTTGCGTTGGAGTAGACCGAGGAATAATCAGACCGAAGCTGAGGGTGCCCTGAAGGTACCGAAGGATCCGCTTGGCAGCCACAAGGTGAACTTCTCGGGGATCATGCATGTGAAGGCAGATTTGCTAGACAGCATACGCAATGTCGGGTCGAGTAAAAGTCAGGTACTAGAGTGCACCTGCAAGGCTGCGGTAGGCAGTGGGATCAGCAACAGGAGGACCGGCATCTGCAGGAACTTTGGCATAGGTGTCGACAGGAGTGGAGCAAGGCTTGCAGTCGCTCATCCCATGGCGAGCAAGAATGTCCAGGATGTACTGACGTTGTGACAAAGTGAGGTGATCCTTGTGGCGCTGAACGGCCACACCGAGGAAAAGATGAAGGGGGCCAAGGTCCTTCATGGCAAACTCGTTCTTGAGTGCTGCAATCAGGCGATGCAGGAGCTGCTCGGAGGAGGCAGTGAGGACGATGTCGTCGACATAGAGAAGCAAGTAGACTGTCTCGGTGCCACGATGAAGTATGAAGAGGGATGTATCGGACTTTGCTTCACTGAAACCCAAAGAAAGCAGGAAGGAGGCAAACCGGCTGTACCATGCCCGTGGAGCCTGTTTTAGTCCATAGAGGGATCTGTTGAGCTTGCATACATGACCAGGAAGTGCAGGATCACCAAAACCAGTGGGTTGTGAGCAGTAGACTGTTTCTGACAAGGTCCCGTGGAGGAAGGCGTTTTTCACATCAAGTTGATGGATTGGCCAATCCCGGGAGTGAGCCAAGGTGAGGACAGTCCGGACGGTAGTAGGCTTGACGATGGGGCTGAATGTCTCGTCGTAATCAACGCCGGGACGTTGGGTGAACCCGCGAAGCACCCAGCGAGCCTTATATCTGTCCAGGGAACCATCGGCATGAAACTTATGCTTAAAGATCCATTTGCCGGTGACCACATTTGCCTTGGCAGGACGGGGAACGAGATCCCAAGTGTTGTTGTCCTGTAGGGCAGCATACTCCTCTTCCATGGCCCGACGCCAGTGTGGGTCGGCAAGGGCGTCATGACAGGAGCGTGGTAGAGGTGACAGAGCCTCAGTGTGCAGCGCGAGGCGCGGCTGTCGGTAACCGGACTTCCCACGGGTCGCCATGCCATGAGTGTTGGCGACTGGCGGGATGGGGACAGCTCCTGTGGGAAGAGGAGGGTCACCCTTGACGAAACGCGGCGGTGAAGGAATCATGTTGGAACGTCGAGGAGGTGGTCCAACAGGGGACACAGGTGGCGAGCTGGGAGCGGGTGGACACCGGGTGTAGACATGAATGACCGGTGGTTTGTTGAAGGAGGACGCCGGGGGTGACACCATGGGTACCTGTACAGAAGGACCCATGGGCACCGGAGCAGAGGGTGCCGGGGGCACCGGGGGCGCCTCTGCAGAGGGCGCCATGGGCGCCGACGAAGTGGGCGCCTGTCCAGAGGGCGCCATGGGCGCCTGTACAGGTCGAGCTGGAGAGGAGCCCGGTGGCCGGGGCATGAAACCCGGCGGGGGCTGCCGGAGGGCCGGTGCGCCCAAGGTGGGCACCGGCTGGGAGAGCACAGTGGTGGGCGTAAGGCCAGAGCCCACGGTGTACTGCAGTGGAAGTATAAGCGACGACTAATCGTCGTTAGTTAGAAAATCAAGCTCGTGTGTGGGTGGCGAAGGTCGACGGAGGGAAAAAGGGAACGTTGTCTCGTCGAAGACAACGTGGCGTGAGATGATGACGCGGTTTGTGGCGAGGTCAAGGCACCTATACCCCTTGTGGTCAGGAGAATAGCCAAGAAGACGCGACAAGGAAGATCGTGGAGCGAGCTTGTGAGGAGTGGTGGCGGTGAGGTTGGGGTAGCAGCAGTGCATCCAAAGCTCAAGATCGTGGTAGGAGGGGAGAGTGCCATGGAGGGCAAAGAAGGGAGTGCTCATGTTCAGGGTCTTGGTTGGGAGGCGATTGATGAGGAGAGTGGCGGTGGCGAGGGCATCAGCCCAGTAAGAGGGGGGCATGGATGCTTGGAAGAGCAAGGTGCGGGTGACATTGTTGACGGTCATGAAGCATGCGCCGGCTTTGCCATTTCTTTGCGAGGTGTAGGGGCATGACATGCGAAGGGTGACACCTTTGGCGAAAAAGAAAGCGCCATGACGCTGGAGTTGTCAAACTCATGTCCGTTGTCACACTGCACGGTCTTGATGGTGCAACCAAACTGAGTGAGCGCATAGGCGAAAAAATTGGAGAGAGCATTAAAGGTGTCAGACTTTAGTTTAAGAGGGAAAGTCCAAACAAAATGCGAGCAATCATCAATAATGACTAGATAATATTTGAAACCGGATACACTGATGATTGGGGAAGTCCACAAATCACAATGTATCAAGTCGAAATTTTTAGTTGCACGAGACAAGGAATTGTTAAAAGGCAAGCGGACATGACGCCCAAGCTGGCAAACATGGCAGAGAGTGTCATCATCGGGCTTGCTGCAGATGATGGAGGATGACTTGGCAAGAGTCTGAAGAGTAGCCTTCCCGGGGTGACCGAGCCGATAATGCCAAGTAGTGGAGGAGGGAGTGGCCACGAGAACGCAAGGACCGGATGGTGATGTCGGGAGCTGCAAGGTGTAAAGGGGTCCCGAGCTGTCACAGCGAAGGAGGAGGTTCCTGGTACGAAGATCCTTCACGAAAACACCAAGAGGGTCAAACTCGACAGAAACAAGATTATCAGTGGTGAATTTTCGAATTGACAAGAGATTTCTAATAATGTCAGGGGCGATGAGAACATTGTTGAGGCGAAATGGGCCAGGGAGGGTTGAGTAGCCGGTGCCAACAACCGGAAGAGTGGCGCCATTTCCCACAATAATTGAAGAAGGAAAGGAGGAGGTTGGTGACATGGTGACCATACCAGGAGTGTCGGCTATGTGAGAGGAAGCACCCGAGTCGAAGACCCAATCCGAGGTGCTTGACGGTGGAGTGAGGGTGACGGTGCTGAAAGCGTTGGCGAGACCCTCAGTAGTCCAGGGCGACGGCGAGGTGGGCGCCTGCTGGGGCGCCTGGTAGTATGCCCCGGGGACCGGCGGAGGAGCGAAGTAACCCGGGGACACTCCGGCCATGAGAGCTTGCTGTGGTGGTGGACCGCGAGAGCCGCCTGGATTGGACCCGGGCCACATCTGGATGGACCCGGTCCATGGGTTGAAGAAGGATGGCCACTGTTGGCCATTTGGTGGACCGGCTTGAGTGCCGGCTTGGGCGCCGCCGTGGCCGCGTCCACCGCGGCGACGTCGTCCGCGGTTATTGCCGTTGCCGGACTGCTGGCCCCCAGCAGCCTGAGGATGGCGTGAAGGAGAAGGGGTGTGGCCGAGCTGCTGTCCCCCAGCAGGCTGTGGAGGGCGCTGAGGAGCATGGAACGGAGCAAGCGGCTTGCTGGACGGCGCGGTGAGGAGGGCCGAGGGTGGAGCTGAAGGTGACGCCATGTTGAGTTCGGCCAGCCTCAGGTCAGCACGAACGTCGGCGAAGGATGGGAAGGGCTTCTGCCGCGTGACGAGCTGCGACATGAACTGGAAGCGTTCGTTGAGGCCGCGCAGCACATTCAACACCAGGGTCCGGTCCAGGACGGGTTCGCCAAGGTCGGCGAGCGCGTCCGCCATGTGCTTCATCTTGCGACAGTATTCATCCACAGATAGAGCACCCTGGCAGAGAGTGCGGAACTCGGCGTCGAGGAGCATGGCGCGTGATTCACGGTTGTTGAAGAATTGCTGCTCGAGGCCGAGCCATGCCGCCCGAGCAGTGATGCCGTCACGCTCGTGGACGACGTCGAGAAGGTCAGGGGCGATGGTGTTGAAGATCCATGAGACGACAACACAGTCCATGCGGGACCATGCCGCATCGTGGAGGTGGATGGCGTCGCTGAGGACGTGGTCCTTCAGGGCAAACCGGCCGAGGATGAGCAGGATGAAACCGTGCCATTTGGAGTAGTTTGAGGCTTGCAGATCAAGAACAATAGGAATGAGGTTCTTGATGTTACGCAATGCCGCCACCGCTATGAAGATGGGCGACAACCGCATTTCGTGGCGATGGAGTCGGCGCCGCCCCCGAGTCGTCGTCGCGGTGATGCTCGGGTGGGTGAAGCAGCTGTGAGGTCAGCGCGCATGCTGTTTCAGCAGATCGACCGCTTTCGCGCTCCAAGTCGAGAGCGGCGGCGTAGCGCGGACCCGCTCTGGGCGGCGGGCGGACTTGAGGAGGTCCGCCTCCTCCGGAGTTGGCGCCGCGCGCGCTGGTTGAGTCGCGCAGGAGGCGGCCTCAACTTCGAGCCTTGGCGGCGAAGAAGCGCCTCGTCATGAGCTTGGTCGTGGCGGCGGCAAATGCCAGGCGCTGAGCCGGAATCGCCGCCGAGGAAAGAGCGACCATGGGTACGAGAACCGGCGAAGTACACTGCGGCGGAGGAGGAGAGCAATGGGCGTTGCTAGCAAGCGTGAAGACAGCAGAGCATGGCGGCGGCCGGAGAGGCCCGCGCGTGGGTCAGGGTTGGGCAGCGGCAGAAAGTAGCGGAAGCAGGGGATACGATTAGACTGATACCATATTAGACAAAGGCCATTAGGCTTTGTATATTCCTTGATAATAGATTACAGAAGGGATTACACTTATATAGGAGAGAGAGGGGATGGCCCAAGGGGTCAGTAGTGTGAAAGGGCCAGTATAGCTGGCGCCTGCACAGTTAGCTAGGAGATTACAGTAAATGAGCAAATAATCTAACATGTTGTGTTTCCTTTCCTTCGGACTGGTGCTATGTGTGTGGTTGCCCATGTGTCGGGGTTGTGATGTGTTTTTGGCTGATTTTTTGCTGTACCTGCAGGCTTTCTTCGACCTGGAGAACGGCAACCAGGAGCTCAAGAGCGACCTCAAGGACCTGTACATCAACCATGCGTGACACAGGAATCCTACTATTTGCTGAAGCTCGGTTTTTACTCGGGCGAGGAAGACATGGAGTACTCTACTTTCTCATCTGGCACCGAACGAGCTGTCAAGACATGGCAGGTTAGTAATACTGCACTCCTGAAGATTATCCTTCACGCTATATTAAATTTATGCTACTTGATGATACGAGCTCTCTTTCAGGCAACGGTAGGAACTTCAGAGAACGGAGTCATGACGTCGGAGCTACTTGAGAGGCTATTCTCAGGGAAGACCGGGGAAGATGCGAAAATGGAAGTGAGTTTAGGCCAATATGATATCATTTATTAATTTAGGCCCTAAACCCTAAACCATGATTACACATATAAATCAGAACGAAATAAATACTTTCGGAACCAAATAAACTCTCCTGTTACCTTCTGCGTTACAGGAAGAGCTGCTTGTAAACTAATAGGTTTTGTACATCGGGATGCATAGAACAGTAAGTTTAGTAGTGCAGTCATGAGTCATGACAGTTGGTTTGGGTGTGCACTGAGATTCCAATTTTCTTCTAGGACTACTGCAATAAAAAACCAGTCAGCACCGGCACTACTGCATCAACCAAGACATGCATCTCCTGTCGAGGTGAAGGGCGCCTCATGTGCTTAGGTAATAAACCCTACTAGTTGCACTAATGTGTACAACTGCATATTCAGCTTCCGTATGTACAACTCATAATCTCTGGAACCTGGACCATAGTACGTAGATTTTTATCAGATACCTAAAATAGCAAGTGTTTGTAGTTCCACTATTCTGAATTCTAACAAAACTGAATGCAATGAAACTGTTTTCAGGCACACTTTTTATTGTGATCTCAATCCCTATTTGATATCTGATGTAAAGTAAGAAATGACATGTGAAACAATAGCTGGCTATCATGCTTACCTTAATTTTTCTCAACCGTGTACTGAAAGTGAGCAGGATCGTTGCATTGCTTTTCACATTGTTGGTTCTTATAACCGTTTAATACATTGTTCATGCCTGAGGTTGTCTTGTCATAGTTGATGTTGTCTGTAATCCACTCTACTAAAACTATGATGAATCTTATCCCAGATATAACACATTAGTCTAGACAGTTCATCTGATCTTGTTAATCAGCAGTTCAACACAATTCACTGCATCCTTCTCTAGATATTGCTTTGATGCATTCAGGGTAGATTTTGAAGTTTTTCATACTGTTGATGAGCTGAGATTCTTTGGTTGACAAGTATATCATTAGAATTCTTCAACTTACCTACCATTCCTCTTCCTCCTGCGTGTAAACTGAAAGCATGCAAGTTGCTGCCTGTTGACCTCACCCCTCTCCTCTGGTACCAATGTTTAAATTCTTACGCGTTTAATGTTTCGGGTCGAATTTGAATTGTAAATTTAATTTTTTTAGCGGAAAAATGATTTGTAGGCGGTTGGTACTGAGTCCGCCCTACAAATCGATTTAGGGCGGCCGGTGTTCCCAGATCGCTTTATAAATCGATTTATAGGAAGGCTACATGAATAACCGCCCCCTAAAATCTATTTCTACCAGACCGCCCTACACCAGACCGCCTACAAATGCATGATTTGTAGAGACGGTATGGTAAGGCTGACTAACCAACCGCCCTACAAATGTCTATTAGCCGCTCCTAAAAATCAAATCTGACGTAGTGTTACCTAAGTGTGTTATTTACTTATATACATAAAAAAATGTCGGTAGCTAACACATTAATTGAGACGTGAACTTGACTATCTAAAACATGTTACGTGCTATCACGTTATATAATTAAATGTCTACGTTATACTAACTTGATTAAAACTAAGTTACATAATCAAGTGTGTACATTATGCTAAATTAATCAAAACTATGTTACATGTAGCCTCTCACGTACATTGGGAACAAATGTTACATGTAGTTATTACGTAAATTTGGGAACGAATACACGGCTACAAGCAATGATCCTATCACGCACGTGGATTCACATGCATACACGCATCATGTACATGGATTCATGCACATGCATTATGCTAATCAAATCATGTCAGTTCCAAAATTGCAAAAATAAAAAGATCTACTACATCTAATAGATCACGCATGCATTAGTTACATCTAGAAAATTATTTTTATATATAATTTTTTCTTATTTAGCCTATTTTACAAAATTAAAATTAAATAAATACATATTTCACGTATTACCTCCTAAAAGTAATGTTTCTAACGATAGGATCTAATTAATGAACGGCTCACAATCATTTGGATGCCTAACTAGTTGTATCTTCTCTAGTAACATAGCTTAGTGCTTATTTAATTCACTAGAGTTGTTTAGTAGTTGCTCACCTAGCACTACTGGAAAACTGTACTTTGCCGAGTGCCTGAGATTTTACCGAGGGTTTTTTATCGGGGCACTCGGCAAAGCAATATTTTGCCGAGTGCCGCACTCGGCAAAATAAAAGCACTCGACAAAGCCTGGCTCTCGGCAAAACTGGGCTTTGCCGAGTGCCGCGGCACTCGGCAATTTTTTTTTATTTTTTAAAAACATATTTTGCCGAGTGTAAGCCTTGGGCACTCGGCAATTTTTTTTTAATTTTTTAAAATTTATTTTGCCGAGTGTCAGCGCTAGGCACTCGGCAAATTTTTTTTATTTTTGAAAATCAACTTTGTCGAGTGCCCCTGGGCCGGCACTCGGCAAAGCCCACTTTGCCGAGTGCCCCCATGGCACTCGGCAAAATATATATATATATATATATTTTGATTTTGGGCCCAAATTTTTTTCTGGGGCCTTGTGACAGGCCTCAAACTCTGACAGTATTTCAAACTCTTGACTTTTTTAAAATTTAGGGCAATTTTGAATTTTTTTATATATTTTATTAGTTTATTTCGTTTGATCGTGAATTTTCGGGATATTTCAAATTTGAAGCTGAGAGGTACATGGAATAATGGACTTTGATCATCAAAATTGATACTCATGATATTTATGGTATGTTTAGGTTTTTATCACGGAACTTTCACATGAAATCTTTTACCATCTTCCGTTATGCGTAACACGACGCCTTTGACAAGTTTACTGTGATTTTCGAAATTTGATTTTATATAATTTAAAATCACATTTTCGATAAGTACAAAAATCGACATGTTACTCAACGAGATGCTTGAGGAGATTTCATATGAGTTCCTCGGATAGCCTAAACATACCCTAAATATCATGAGTATTAAGTTTTTGGATGACCAAAGTCCATTATTCCATGTAATGTGTAGTTCAAATTTGAAATATCCCAAAAATTCTTAAACAAAATAAACTAATGAAATATATAAAAAAGTCAAAATTGCTCCAAATTTTAAAATAGAGTTTGAAATACTGTCTATAGGCCCCAGAAAAAAAATTGGGCCCAAAATCAATTTTTTTTTGCCGAGTGCCATGGGAGGCACTCGACAAAGTGGGCTTTGCCGAGTGCCGGTCCAGAGGGCGCTCGGCAAAGTTGATTTTTTTTTTTAAAAAAATTGCCGAGTAAAAGCTCACCGGCCCAATCCTCGCGCGGCCCAACCCTAAAAAAACGCCCCCAGCGACGCCCGCTCGCCCCCGCGCCCACCACAGCCGCCGCCGCGCCCACCCCCGCCGCTGCCGCGCCCTCGCCGGCGAATCGCCGCCGCCGACGAGCCCCGTTCTCGCGCCCGTGCCCGCGCTCTCCGCCGGCCTCGCCCGCGACCGCGCCCGTCGCCGGCCGCGCCCGCCGCGCCCACCCCCGTCGCCGGTCGCGGTGGTGGCGGCGCTCATGGAGCTCTGCGAGGCGCTGTCGTTCTGCGCGGAGGACGCCGGCGGGTACTTCCCCACGGAGGCAGCCGCGCGGGCGCTGGTGCGGCGGGCCGGCGGCGGCGGCGATGGCACGGGGGCTACCCCGGACGTGATTCTGCTGTCCGTGCGCGCCATCACGTACCTCTGCGACGCCATGCCGCGCGCCGGGGACGCCGTTGTCCGCCACGGCCTCCTCCCCGTGCTCTGCTCCCGGCTGCTAGCCATCGAGTACCTCGATGTAGCTGAGCAGGTAACATTATAGTGCTCAGGCTTGCCACCGATGGCATCATCTCATCTGCCATCAAAATCAGATTTGTGCTCTGCTTCCTTGGGTACTTCTGTTCTCTGGCCTTTTCCTTGTTGCGTGAAATGAGCCTGCAGATTGTTTAGCTTACTTAGATATACCTTATTTGTATTTATCGTTCACAGATTACTACAGGTTGTATAGTGAGGATTGATGAGGAGCCAGACCTTTTTTCTGTCTTTTAACTTTCAGTTTAGTTGTGCATCTTATTACCTTTTTTACTTTATTTTAGTTTATTTTCAGTCAACATTTGCATGACCTGATCTCCTGTCCTGTTTCTCTAATTTTTTCTTGTTTAATCTAATGGACTGCTACTCATATTGTTGTTTTATCTTCTACCTATTGCCCACTTGAGAACGCTTCAGTACAAATATGAAATATGTTTCAGTAGGAACACTCGGTCCTGATCTCATACCTGTTCTCTATTTTGTTTTTTTTTGTGCCTCCAGAATAAACAGCTGTAGACACTCACAACAGTCTTATTCCGTGATCCAGTTCACTTATCTTTCTTAGTTAAGTAAACATCTTCAAGTATTTGCTCTGCATGAGATAGAAAATATTTCCTCCTTTCCTGTTCACTTCTATCAATTTACATAGGAAAATAAAATACTCCTTGCATGTAGCTGTATGCTACAAATTAATGTTTTTTGGTCAAATATAATTTTCTTGAGTAGTCTATCTAGTTTTGCCTTTTTACGATGCATGATCTTTTATCTACTCAACAGAGTACTCCGTGTGGTTTGACAACAGAGTACTCAGGAAACAATGTGGTTCGAAAATATAATTTTTACGGCTAAGAATACATATGGCCATAAGTATATGTGCATCCAAGAAAAGAAACAGTATTTGTTATTCAAACAATGAAATTTTGTGGTTAGAAATAAAGTTGGTCACAAGGGCTTGTGGATGCCCAATAAGCTATTTCCCAAGCCACCAAAAACAGCCTTGGCGCCTCCCTTTCGTTCGTTTCCACCGCCCCTCCATTCTTCTTCCTTTTTATGTTAGTTTTTTCCCTCAACTTTTCGGTCATGGGACAGGGGGGAAGAGGGTGGTTCCTCCTTTTTCTCGCCTGGCAGAGGCAGTTCATTTCTCATGGTGGCTGTAGTCTAGCTCCTCCGTGGGTTCACCGTGTATTTGGCAGTGGCGGTGCTGGCTTCCATCCTGCTCCAATCATCCATTCAACTCCTCCTGTGACTTATCGGCCTGTTTGGTCTATTCGACGGCTGCGATAGTCCCTTATCCGTTTAGCTCCCCAGCAGCTTTTCACGACTCTTTTTTGCTAAGTACTTTCTAAACAATAAAAGTCTGCTATCTTAAGCACAAAATGTTTTTATCATCCTTTATTTGCAGTCACAAGCATCATTTTTTGTGCATAAGAAACTAACTTGACACTGGACACCCATCAAATTCTACTCTGTGTCTGTGGTCATGGATGCTTTTGTTTGATCTTAGCTTTCTTTTCTCACAAATTTTGTTGACAACCAAATGCTTAGTCCTCCAACGAAGCATTACTTCAAATACCATTTTTCCAACAATAATTGTCCCCAGTTGTTCGAATGTTAGAGGACTCTGAAAACTAATAGGAGCAAAGGTATTTTGGGTATCCGGTGTATGTAGTCGCTGGCCTGATCATTGTTTTTTAGTGCAGTGACATTCCAATCTTAATTATCTCGCCTCTAGTTTCTATTGATACTGAATTTTTTGGGGCTTGCACACATGAGCAGTTTGCCTTTGTTGTTTCTATTTTACAAGTGTACTATTAATTCGATGTGCAAGTGTACACATGAGCAGATTGCTCCCAGTTTGTTCTGGATTCGGTCCGAACTCTCTGTAATCTTCTGCAATCTGAGGACAAAATGGTACTGTTGTTCCCCCATATAACTGAGATCATTTTGGCATGTAAAGAGTGCTCTGCTTTTGTTTCTAAGTGATGTCAATTTCCAGATAGTGGAGAAGGTTGCAGCTTGCTTGATAAGCATCGTGGACTCCTTTAGCACTTCAGTTGATCTTGTGGACCAGCTCTGTCACCAGGGTGTTATAGAGAAGGTCCTACCTTTGATCCACACTGGTGGACTCATGGCCCTTAGCCCATCGACATGCAGTGTATGTTTTCTCTACAACAATTTGTTGCGTGTGCTCGATATGTGTTGAGGCAGCTGACTATTGTGTCTCGTGGTTGCAGAATCTGATTGGGCTTCTTGCTAAGCTAGCCTGTACTTCACTTGTGGCAGTGAAGTCTCTATTTGAGCTGGGTGTTAGTAGCACAATAAAGGGGATTTTGATCACTTCAGACATCTCCCATGGCATGCCATACTTGCCTCTGGAAAAACAAAACAATCAGGTTGGCCTTTTCACATCTTTACTTCTAGCCAAGTAGTACAAGATTGTGCATAGCGGATGTGTTCTGTTGCTCGCTGATAACAATAATTTTTTTTATAGCTATCATGATGTATACTTTTCTTTTTATAAGCAAAGCAAAAGATTACGCGTGTGCTCTTCCCTTGACTCATGTGCATTCAATAGTTTTTCTTTTGCATGTGATATTGATTTACTAGTATATTTATATGAACTGATGAAGTTTGGTGAAATGAAGATAATGTCAGAGATTTTCCCTAGTGGTTATGCCAGAGTGCATGCCAACACTGTGTATTTGGCATGCCATATTTTTAGAGCGCAAACTACATTTACAACTTCTTACAATTTCACCAAACGCATTGCTTCTCTTATTAATCTACTCTTTTTTAGTCCGTTAGCAATTTATTTGAAAATGGGCACTTTTTTCCTAGTACTCTGGTTTTCCGCTTGATAGTAGGTACATCGCAGGTAGACAAGATCGTTTCCATTGCACAGCATTTTTTTATTATAAATTTGAAACAAAAATAATAGAAAAGAAGAAACGAGTATATAGAAATCCTAGAAACTTGCTGCTTTGTTGGAACATCCCTGCTGGCAGTTTTGGGCCCTGAAAGTTTTTTTTTTAAAAAAAAAGTACTTTGCCGAGTGTCCCTGCCCAGGCACTCGGCAAAGTATTTTTTTAAAAAAAATCAGAAATTCTTTGCCGAGTGCCTAGACAGGGGCACTCGGCAAAGAAATTATTTAAAAAAAATAAAAAAAACTTTGCCGAGTGCCTGGGCAGGGGCACTCGGCAAAGTAATTTTTTTAAAAAAAATAAAAAAAAACTTTGCCGAGTGCCTGGGCTGGGGCACTCGGCAAAGTAATTTAAAAAAAAATAAAAAAAACTTTGCCGGCAAAGTAATTTTTTAAAAAAAATAAAAAAAAACTTTGCCGAGTGCCTGGGCTAAGGCACTCGGCAAAGTAATTTTTTTAAAAAAAAATATATTTTTTTTTTGCTGAGTGCTGGGTTGGGCACTCGGCAAAATAACCGTTAACGGCCGGCGCCGCAACGGCCGAAAATATTTTGTCGAGTGCCGCCCCAAGCACTCGGCAAAATTGTTTTTTTATTTTGTCGAGTGCCCCGATAAAAAAGCACTCGGCAAAGACCTTTTGTCGAGAAAGATTTTGCCGAGCAGACTTTGCCGAGTGCAAAGGGCTCTTTGCCGAGTGTAAAAACACTCGGCAAAGCCGCGGCCTCCAGTAGTGTAGGCTTGCAAAACTCTAGCTAGAGGTAGTTTTATTGGGGTCTAATAATTTGTTTCTAATCTTTTGGCCTAGTGCTGTGGTTTCACCCTCTACTAGCCAATCAAGATCCTTTCATGAGTGGATTATACGGTGAACCCCTATACGTTGGCCACTTGACACACATCAAATTAAGGGCACTTGGCTGCTCATTCAATGACGATGGTTCCCTCGATTGTGTGTTGAGTGGCCAAGTTACTAGACTTCACCGTATGATACGGTGTGCCTGTGTGCATCGTGCGTATCATCGGTGACAGTGTGCTTGACTACAACAGCAACTCCATTTACTACAAAAGAAGTAAGGACCTTCGAATATTCTACCTCGATAAAAGCATTGTTATTTAGTCCAAAAAATAAAGTTATCCATATTTTTTGTACATCACATCAGCTAGAAGGACAATGAACAACATACAACATATTTCTTCATAAAAAATTACAAATGGAAATAACACAAGCCGCAGCCCCCAAAAATCTAGCAGGTCCAGAAATAAGAAACACTAAACCAACATCTAAAAAGAAGCGGATATGAAAGTTTCTACTCCTAATTCTTAGGACTATTCTCCTATTGACATCCTTCTTAATGCCGCAAAATTCGACTAATGCATCAGTATACACTCGCATACTCACAGGATGGATAGTCTTTCGCAGATTTCTTGCCTATTGATTCTGCTACAGAGAACACTACTTGCTTGCTAGATGCCATAAGTATCTGAACATTATGAGCATTGCTAAATATCTATAAAATAATCTCTATTGACCTAGAATTGCCATGACAGCAATATGTTTTATTCGAAAGAGGGAGGGAAAGTGAGATTTAGCAATTGCCTAGAGTATTTGTGGCTGGCTCCTTCAGCATCGGTATGGCGCGTTTCTCCAATCTTGGCATCACAGGCTCATCCAAGCTCGGTGCAGTGAGGTCGTCGAGGTCAATGAAGTGGCACCAAAGCTTGGAGGGTGTGGAGTTAGGTCTTGGGGAAGGAGAAGCTTGGAAGACGTGGAGAAAAGTCTTGGTGGAGGAGATGTGAGTCAGGCCCGAGGGCGGTGTTTGGATTTAGGAGAGATTGAGACTGTGTACGAGGGCAGGCGATCGCAGGGGCAAATTTTGGATTTGGGGAGGTGATTGTAGACAGAAGTGCGAGGGCGGGCGAAGCAAGGGGCGACGACACTCCCTAGCTAAGGGATGGTGACAACACGTGCAATGGCGGGTGGCATGGCATGTATGGGGGAGGGCGATGGTGTGTGCTTACATGCGAGGGGAGTGGGACTCAAGGGGCGGTGTCGGTGGGAGAGTTGGGCCTAGAAATGAGTTAGGGTTTGCTTGTGTTACTAGGTGTGGAGCTATCTGACATGTGTGGGTCTAATAGTGCAGATGGGATAACAATTAATGAAGGTTGCTAAAAATCGCATGGGCCAAACCACAACTTTGCGCAAGCACGAACAAAGCATGCAAAAGGAATAGGAAAAGAGCCAGCATGCTAGATGAGTAAGTGACATATTTTGTGAAGGTTTTAAGCTCCCATGAAAATTATGAAAATAAGTTATTTTCATGGCGGTTTAGTGAACACCTACACAAAAAATAACAAATTTCATAAACGTTTATGGGTTATCATCCCGAAAATATATTTTAATGGGGGTTTTTGAACCATCCTCACAAAATATTCACAAAATATTTTGTTTCTAATGATATGTTTTCAACTCTCATCATAGAAAATCTTGGTTATCTAGCTAGATGGCCTCCGATCCTTGCCATACCCTTACTCCTGTCTCTCTGCACGCAGCAACAACAAACACTTTGGCCTTGTTTGGATGTCGTCGGATTCACCTCAATCCACATATGTTGTGGTGGATTAGGGTAAAATTTAGTTCAAGTTCCACTTTAATCCATCGCAACACATATGGATTGATACAAATCCAACTACATCCAAACTCTGATCCATGAAGATCGGATCACTCTTGAGTATGTAAGCATTATCGTGCATAGTACTCCTACATGTTTTAAGCAATAGATTAACCAACATGACTGACATCTGGTGTATATAAACTAACCGAGAGGGAAAGCAGAGATAGATCATAGATTGTTAAAAAAAAAGAGATATCATAGATGGATGCGTAGGACACGTGTGTGGGCCATCCGGCGACGAGAGGATGCATGCACAAGCGGTTGCCGAGGATGCATTGCATGGTGCATCTGTGCCGCTGTGCGTTGGTTTGGTCAGTTCAGTTGGCTATAAATGACATGCCTTATTAAAAGGATCCATATATATAAATAATAAAGACATAAATAAATTAATTATTTAGGGGCGGGTCCAATACGTACGAGGAAACGCATGCAGATCGATCTCGATCGAGAGTAGGCCGGTGACACACACGTACAAAGCGATCGAGTACCGTCGTTGCCAACGACGTTTGCGCCTAACCCCGGCCCTAATCCATCCGCCGCCGGTACCTCTCCGAGGCTACGATCCGGATGATCCGATCGAAAGATGCATGGAGATCGACATGGAGCAGCTACCTGACGACATGCTCGCCAACATCCTGGGCCGGCGTCACGCTGCGTCCTCAAGCACTGGTGCTCCATCATCGACGCCCGACGCCTGCTGCGCGCCGACCTCCTCCCTCTCCGTGTCGAAGCTTTCTTGTGCAACAGCTACATCCTATTCGAGAACTCATTCCTCTTTGCACGCCCCTCGGCGGCGCGCCGAATCCCTGGCGGCCACCTCGACTTCTTCGATGACGATGACGCCTCTCCGGTAGCCAAGGATCACTGCAATGGTCTCCTCTTGCATTACCAGATGGTGGTTAACCCTGCCACACGACAATGGGCCACCTAGCCTCCCATACCACAACACCTGGATGGCTTGTCTATGTCGTATAACCTATGTGTTTCCCTTGTGTACGATCCCATGATGTCGCCTAATCACTATGAGGTGTTTCTTACCCCCCCCTACTACCACCTGGTTGCAATTGCAATGATGATGACAGAAGCATTCTTCTGCAAGAATGTCCGCCATCGCCATACACTGCATACGTCTTCTCCTCCTCCACCAAGGAGTGTAGGTGGGAGGAGAGATCCTTTGTCCGCCAAGGAGGGGAGGCTGCCGGGACCATTGCCGATATGACGCATATCGAATCCCGGAGCGAACGCAAAGGTGTCTATTTCCAGAGATCATTTTATGTGCATTGTCTAAATGATTCCGTCATGAGGTATGTTGTGTTATGTTATGTTACAATTGTTACCCTGATGCCTGCATGTATGCATGATTAGTTTATATACTCAATTAATTCAGTGATGGTGATCTATCTCATCTTTAATTAATTAATTAATTAATTAATTTTCAGACTATCCTTGTCTGACGACAAGTACCAAATGATTAAGCCACCACCAGCATCAGCAAGGAGCAAAACTAAAACCAGTGATCGCTATGTTTCCTCTTACTTAGGAAAATCAGAGAAAGGGGTTTACTCTGCATTAATTGATTTGGATGGCCCCAATTTCGAGTTTGGTTGCTTAGTGAGTTTTCTGCTAGTCAGACAGAGTGGGTGCTCAAGTGTAACGTCAGCCTTGAAGCAGTGGTGAATTTCGCCGTTGATAATGAAAAATATGACGGACCATGGATCATTAACTATAAGAAGAATTACAATAAGGACAAGGAAACACAGCCTAGTGCACAAGTGGAGGAGGAGGATGATGATGAGGAGGAGGAGGAAGGGGAGGGGGAGTTTGCTGAATGGGATTTTGACAATGGTTGTATCATCCCTCAAACCAAGGTCAAAGACTGTTAGCTAATCTACCGCTACCTTGTGTGAACACAGCAAGGGAAGACGGCGCCGACCTGGCCCCCTGCTGTGATATTGTAGCCGCTGCAGGTGCAGGCGCCGCACAGCTCACCTGCAGCACTGTAGGCACATACAGTGGCCGGCGCAGAGTCAGCCCTATATGTTATCTAGTTACTGTTGCAGCATGTGCGCTGTACTAGAACTAAATAGATAGAGTTGTATAAATAGATATACACGGCAACTCAGTAAAGAGAGTTCAGATTTGTCATCTCATAGACAAGGCTTCGGCCAACGCTGGTGTCTTGTATTGTGCGTGCTTGCTCTGTTCTCCCTTCTTTTTCTAGCTTCAGCCATAGTGTGTGGGGACGGACAACGCCTGTTCGTGGTCGGCATGGCTAGTTGGTGCTCGGCAACACTAGCGGGTGCTCGGCAAGACCAACGAGTGGTTCACTCGCCTGAGCCGGAGATCCTGTGGGCCAACAAGTGGTATCAGAGCCGTACAAGCGCCGTCGCCAGACTAACCGCTGGCGATGACGGGCGGTTCTGAGTTGGACGACAGCAGTGGCTCTGCTGTGGCTGCCCAGCCACGACCAGAGGTCGTTGTTCGCACGGTGCGGGAGGTCAGCGGCACCAGTTGGCCGACGCTGACTCGCACCAACTATGGAGAGTGGTCGGTGACTATAAAGGTCAAGCTTAGAGCCCGACGGCTCTGGAATGCTGTTGACAAGGGCACCGATGTGTAAGAAGATGACATGTCAGCGTTGGAGGCTATCCTCGCTGCTGTACCGACGGAGTACAGGGAGCCGTTGGGGGCGAAGAGCTCGGCTAAGGAGGCTATTGCGGCGATGCGCGTCGGTTCGGACCGCGCAAAGAAGGCGACGGCCTAGCTTCTGAAGCAGGAGTACGCCAACCTCAAGTTCATGGATGGTGAAATGGTGGAGGGCTTCTCCCTCCGCCTGCAGACGCTCATCAGCAAGCTGAAGAGCCATGGCGTCACCATCGACGAAGAGGAGGCGGTCTCCAAGTACCTCCACTCTGTGCTGGCAAAGTATATCCAGATCGCTCTCTCCATAGAGACGATGTTGGACTTGTCCACCCTCACCATTGAGGATGTGACAGGCCGTCTGCGGGCAATGGACGAACGCCTGGAGCAGGCGGCAGCAACGAAGGACAGCGGGAAACAAGTGCTGATGGAAGAGGAGTGGGCTGCTCGGAGGAACTCCGGGAAGGCAGCCTCCTCTAGTCGCGGTGGCGATGACAAGCGCCGCGGAAAGGCTTCTTCAAACAAGAAGCAGGTCGACCCCAACGCCTGCCGGCGTTACGGGAAGATAGGCCATTGGGCACGAGAGTGCCCAAATCGCAAGCAGGAGAAGAAGGCTCAGGCTCACCTAGCGCAAGCCGATGATGAGGATGAGGCCACTATCCTAATGGCGATGTTCTGTGCACTGCACAACGTCGAGGCCGAGGAGAGGGAAGAGGAGACGATGGTGGAAGGACCTAGGAAGGCCCTGAAGACCGTCAACCTCGACGAACCACGTGCCCAAGTTCACCTCGGATGTGTGGGCGCCGACCAGGAGCAGCGGTGGTATCTGAACTCTGGTGCCAGCAACCACATGACGGGCTCCAAGGAATCCTTCTCCGAGCTCGACGGCGATGTTACCGGTACGGTGAAGTTTGGTGATGGCTCAAGGGTGACTATCCAAGGGCGCGACACCATTATCTTCAGATGCCAGAACGGGGAGCACCGCGCGCTAATGGATGTATATTACATCCCACAGCTGTGTTCTAGCATCATCAGCATTGGTCAGCTAGATGAGAGCGGTAGCGAGGTACTGATCAAGGACGGTGTCCTGAGGATCAGGGACCGGGAGCAGCGACTTCTTGCCAAGGTGAAGAGGTCCCTGAACCGGTTGTACCTGCTTGACCTAAAGGTAGAGCAGCCGGTGTGCCTGGCGGCAAGGCACTCCGAGGAACCATGGATGTGGCATGCCCGGTTTAGATATCTCAGCTTCGACACGCTTGGTCGGCTGGAGAAGATGGTCCGAGGGCTACCCCAGATCAAGCACGAAGGCGAGCTGTGTGACAGCTGCCTGGCCGAGAAGCAGAGGAGGCTACCTTTCCCAAAGGCGGCCAAGTATCGCGCGGAGGAAGCTCTCGAGCTCGTTCACGGCGACCTATGTGAGCCGATCACGCCTGCTACGTGTGGTGGTCGGTGGTACTTCCTCCTGCTCATGGATGATTGCAGTCGCTACATGTGAATGCAACTCCTGACGAGAAAGGACGAAGTGGCAGTGGTGATCAAGAAGTTCAAGACGCGCGCAGAGGCCGAGAGTGGCAAGAAGCTCCGCGTGCTGAGGACTGATCGCGGTGGTGAATTCACTTTGGTGGAGTTCGCTGCGTACTGCGTGGATCAGGGTGTGGGGCGACACCACAACACGCTGTACTCGCCACAACAGAATGGCATGGTGGAGCGATGGAACCAGACGGTGGTCGGTATGGCCCGATCCATGATGAAGGCCAAAGGCATGCCGGCAAGGTTCTGGGGAGAGGCGGTGACCACGGTGGTGTTCATCCTCAACCGCGCTCTGACCAAGGCCCTGACGGGAAAGACGTCGTTCGAAGCTTGTTATGGGTGCAAGCCGAGCGTGTCCTTCCTCCGAACATTCGGTTGCATCGGCCACGTTAGGAAGACAAAGCCGAACCTCACCAAGCTGGAGGACAGGAGCACCCCGATGGTGTTCCTAGGCTACGCGGAGGGTACCAAGGCGTACCGGCTCTACGACCCACGCGGAGACAAGGTGCTTGTCTCGCGCGATGTCATGTTCGATGAGAAGGCGGCTTGGGACTGGAGCAGTCCAAGCACGAGGGAAGCTGGCGGCTTCACCAACACCTTCATCGTCGAGCACTTGGTCATCCACGGTGGTGGAGACGCTGGGGAACAGGTGCCGAGCACTCCGACGGTGGAGCCGAGCACTCCTAGGGCAGTGCCGAGCACTTCAGGAGGGATGCCGAGCACTCCGGGAGGAGTGTCGTGCACTCCTGGAGGGATGCCGAGCATGCCAGGAGTGGCGTTGGGAGGTTCTGCAGTGGTGGCGACCACTTCAGTACGGGTGTCGAGCACTCCCGTGGCGCAGCCAAGACATCTTGCAGTGGTGCCAACCACTCCAAGACTGAGGCTGGGCACTCCTATAGTGTGGTCGAACACTGCAGGAGTTATGACGAGCTGTCCAGAAGTAGTGCCGAGCACTTCAGGTGCTATGCCAAGCACTCCAGCGGAACAGGGAACTCCATCGACGCTGATCAAGCTCGCATCACCTCCAAGTGACATCACTGAGTTTGTGGACGCCTACCGTGAAGGTGAGGAGGTGCAGTTCCGTAGGCTGGACGACATCGTCGGTGGCATAGGTCCTTCTAGTCTAGCGGGTAGGCTGCTCATCGACGCAGAGCTGCTACTCGTCAGTGCAGAGGAACCACCCACATTCGCGCTAGCCGAGCGCGATGGAAACTAGCGACGAGCGATGCTAGAGGAGATGAAGGCGATCGAGGAAAACGAGACTTGACAGCTCGTCGATCCACCTCCAGGATGTCGTCCGATCAGCCTGAAGTGGGTGTACAAGGTCAAATGGGACGAGCTCGGCGCCATTGTCAAGCACAAGGTGCGCCTCGTCGACCGAGGCTTTGTTCAGCGTGAGGGCATCGACTTTGAGGAGGTATTTGCACCAGTAGCGCGCATGGAGTCGGTTCGTTTGCTACTAGCCTTGGCAGCAGCAAAGGACTGGCGCGTCCATCACTTGGACGTTAAATCGGCCTTCCTCAATGGTGAGCTGGCGGAAACGGTCTTCGTCAGGTAACCTCCAGGTTTCGCCGTCAAGGGAGAGGAGCACAGGGTGCTCTGACTATGCAAGGCGCTCTATGGGTTGCGACAAGCCCCTCGAGCATGGAACACTAAGCTTGACGCCACACTAGGCGAGCTTGGGTTTCAAAGGTGCGCAACCGAGCACGCGCTCTACATGCGACGATGGGGGAAGGAAGAGCTCGTGGTCAACATGTATGTGGATGACTTAATCGTCACCGGCGCACGCACGAAGGACATCAACAGCTTCAAACGCGAGATGGCGGCTCGTTTTCGAATGGGCGATCTCGGCGCACTCTCCTACTACCTCGGCATCGAGGTGAGATAGGGGAAGGAGGAACTCACGCTCGGTCAGAGCGCGTATGCCTCTAAGCTGTTGGAGAGGAGCGGCATGGTGGAGTGCAAACCATGCGTGACTCTGATGGAGGAACGGCTGAAACTGATGAAGGCCAGCACCACGGTGAAGGTGGATGCAACACTCTACCGGAGCATCATTGGCGGTCTGCGCTACCTAGTCCACACGAGGTCAGACATTGCGTTCGCCATGGGCTACGTCAGTCGCTTCATGGAGGGTCCCAGAGAGGATCACTAGGCTACAGTGAAGCGGCTACTGCGCTACGTCAAGGGGACGGTGAATCATGAGATCATCTTCCCAAAAACCGGCGGGAGTAGGCTGCAGCTCACTGTGTTCAGCGATGCAGACATGGTGGGGGACATCGATGGACGACGGAGCACCTCTGGCGTGCTCTTCTTCCTCGGGTCGGCCCCAATTTCATGGTTGTCGTTGAAACAGAAGGTGGTGGCGCTATCTACGTGCGAGGCAGAGTACGTAGCGGCGGCCACAGCGGCGTGCCAAGTTGTGTGGCTACGCCGGCTGCTGGGTGAGCTGACCGGCGTGGAAGCTCACCCACCAGCACTGATGGTGGACAACCAGCCCGCCATCGCCCTCGCGAAGAATCCAGTTCTGCGCAACCGGAGTAAACACATCGACGTGAAGTTTCACTTACTCAGGGACTGTGTCGGTGGAGGGCAGATCGTCATCGAGTTCGTCGAAACTGGTCGGCAACTCGCGGACGTCCTCACCAAGCCGCTCGGACGACTTCGACTCACGGAGCTGAAGGAGATGATCGGCATGGAGGAGGTACAAGAGTTAGCAGTAGGATTAGGGGAAGATTGTTAGCTAATCTACTGCTACATTGTGTGAACACAGTATGGGAAGGCGGCGTCGACCTGGCCCCCTGCTGTGATACTGTAGCCGCTGCAGGTGCAGGCGCCGCACGGCTCACCTGCAGCACTGTAGGCACATGCAGTGGCCGGCGCAGAGTCAGCCCTATATGTTATCTAGTTACTGTTGTAGCATGTGCGCTGTACTAGAACTAGATAGATAGAGTTGTATAAATAGACATACACGGCAACTCAGTAAAGAGAGTTCAGATTTGCCATCTCACAGACAGGGCTTCGGCCAACGCTGGTGTCTTATATTGTGCGTGCTTGCTCTGTTCTCCCTTCTTCTTCTAGCTCCAGCCATAGTGTGGGGGGACGGACAACGTCTGTTCGTGGTCGGCATGGCTAGCGGGTGCTCGGCAAGACCGGCGAGTGGTTCACTCGCCTGAGCCAAAGATCCTGTGGGCCAACAAAGACAACTGGATGCATCTAATACATTTCCTCGGATTTCATCCTTACAAAGAGATTGCCTTCCTTTGCATATCATAATCAAGGACAATAGCTTTTCATTTGAACAGCTCAAAGGTTCAAGATTTAGGCACCATAAATATACCTGAAATGGAAAATGCATTCCTATACACCCCATGCTGGATGAGGGAATTATCTGAAAAGAATAAAGCATAGCCTATACTACTATTGTATCAAAGGCAGGTTGAGTTTGCACGCATTATTGTTTTATTTGGAGCATACTATGGCCCCGTTTGGCAGGGCTTCTCCAGCGGCTTCAGGAGCCGTTTGGAGCCGTTTTCTGCCAAACGGGGTAAAATAAAACGGCTCCATCGATGAAACCCCTAAAAACGTGCTCTCACAGAGCTTTGAGGTGGGAAGGAGCCAAAAATAGTGGCTTCTCCCGGCTCTTCCTCCAAGCCCCTAAAAACATGCTCTCACAGGTAAGCCATTTTGCCAAACGGTTTACCAAAACCGCTTCAGCTCCACCGGTGGAGCTGTTCGTGGAGCTGAAGCCAAAAAAATGGCTTCACTAGTGAAGTGAAGCCCTGCCAAACGGGGCCTATATATAAATAATCTTCGTACGTTGTTGTTAGCTTTTTAGCCGATAAATGACAATTGATTCCTCCCCGCTTGCCAATAATGGGAATGTGTGGGTCTCCAGCTTTGTTTTTATCATTATGTATATATATATATATATAGATCTTTTTTCCCATCATGTTTTTTTTTTGGGGTGATAAACATGCGCAATGTAGTGTGCTTCATTCAACAGATAAAAAGATGGTCACCAACGATAACTATATTTCTCTATGTTTGACACAGAGAATTTTTTTTCATCCAAAAAACTATAGAGAAACTTACAGTAAGATTCCCAGGCATCATAACATTGGAGTCAAGACACGAAAGCAGCACTGAGTACTACTGTAGGTGCAATAGTCAGAGCAAAAGACGGAAAACAAGATTTACAGTGACACGACACATTTCATCCTAACGAGTGTGCCAAGAATGAGCACGCCATGCAATTGGTGATGATGCATGGTAACTAGCTAGACCAATACAATAAGACAAGGTGCTGTCATTTCTTTAGCAATTAGATGAGTTGAAAGTTTTCCCCTCAGAAATATAATGCTGGAGCACATAAGTATAATTTGAAAACAAAGTGCAAAAATATAATGTGCAGAATTTCTCCTTTTCTCCCACCAAAAGGATATATTTTCAATGAACTCGCAGCACATAGATCTATCTAGCTATAAGCTGCTTTGACAATTCTATCAAAGGCCGACACTGCACCCTTTTCTACAACTCCAAGTCACTCTGACACTTGACATAGCCAACTGTAGAGTGAAAATGAGATTACTGGTTGCAAGATGATGTGTCAAATCAAATGAGATTATAAGCAGGCATAGGCATGGCATCCTAGAATTCGATTCAAGGTCGGATGGCTGTGCCTGTGCCTGCCTTGGGCCTAGGCCGGGCCATGGACAAGAGGCCTATATATAGATAGAAAGCGGACGCCGTGATGGGCTCCGCCTCCGGCTCCAAGGAGGGGGACGAGTGGGTGCTCAGCCACGGCGACGTGGTGCTCATCCGCTCCGACCTCGCCATCCTCCGCGGGCCCCGCTTCATCAACGACCGCGACCGCATCATCGCCTTCTACTTCGTGCACCTCTCCGCCGGCCTCCACAGCGACGATATCCTCCTGCTCCCACCCTCCATCCCCTACCTCCTCTCCAACCTCCCGACCCGGCCTCCGTCGCCGACCTGCTCCGCCTCGCCTCCCGCCGCCTCGTCCTGCTCCCCGTCAACGACAACCCCGACGCCTCCGTCGCCGAGGGCGGCTCCCACTGGACCCTGCTCGTCCTCGACAGCGCCACCAGCCGCTCCGCGCCCCGCTTCGTCCACCACAACAGCCTCCGCGGCGCGCCCAACCTCCCCATCGCCGCCGGCCTCGCCGATGCGCTCCGCCCCCCTGCTGCAATGTGAATTGTGATTCGGGCACTGTTCCACTCGTCCAGGGGCAGTGGGGCACACGCCGAGGCAGACCAACGGGGACGACTGCGGCGTCTACGTCATGGCCATCGCCTGGGCCATCTGCGCCTGGTGGTGGTGGAACGAAGCCCAGGACCACCGGGGACAGGGAGGGGATTGGCTCGAGGTGGTGAGGAGGGAGGTGGATGCCCGCAGCGTCAAGGCCATGAGCACCGGCCTGCTGCAACTAATCAACACCCTCATCCAAGAGAAGGCCAAGCCCAATTCCATATCTGAGGGAGACACTATCAGATTGATAGGCAGTAGCTTAGTTGCTGCTAGTGATTTCTCAACTCTCAAGTCTGGTACCCCCTGTTGATCTTAATCAAGGGTTCTCTTGCTATGTCGCCTTGTTTGTGAAGAAGAAGAACTGGTAGAGCATACACACTTTGTGTAAGTAGTGAAGTCTAAGGAAAATACATCTGTCCATGTGAGTAAAGTTTTGGCAAAACCCAGTAGCAAATTAACTATTACTGATCATGATCAAAATGCTGCGACCTCACCGTGCTTATGCTTGCAAGTTTGTTGAGTTTGAATGGATTCGTGTTGAAGTTCTATGCCATTGGAGTTTGGATATTAGTCCAGTGCAGGTGTATTTGGATGACAATTAATTAAGAATTAGTTGATAAGAGCGAAATGGTTGGTTGAGCAGTTCAAGTGTTGTTTCCTGAAACTTTGTATTCACTGGAATTTTAGAACTTGAGAGCTACGTTAAATGTGTTTACATGTTTGTTACTCAAATGTTTCATTGAATATGCATATTTTATATTGTAAAACATGCAAGTTTCTAGTATTATCATTCTAGAAACACCTGCTGTTCAACTAGGTAATCCTGAACCAGTTCTAGTTGAGATGTATTATATATGTTCAATTCTAGTTTAAGCTTTCCTTGTAGCACCACTGATCTTTTGCCTTTCTGTTGGCACGGTTTATTATCAAATGTGTTTTAATATTTTACTATAATGAACACTATATGTCGGTGCGAAAAGTAACCAACAAGTAAATATTTGTACTTTTGCCGTGCATTGTGATCGGATGTGACCTAGCACTCAATGACACATGATTTATACTGGTTCAAGCAACATACCCTACGTTCAGTTTCACTCGGTCGGTGACTTTATTCCTGAGCCCAGGTGCTCGAAGTTTGCTTTGAGGTACAAACGAGTAGGAATAAGAAGGGGGTGTTAAAGGTCCGATCGGACTCTGAAACGAAGGGCCGAGAGTGACGGGGGCTCTAACGTGCGCTAAGTATTGGAGTGTATGCTCTGTGTAGCTTTAGAGTTCTAGAGCTATTGAGCTATTCGAGTTCTCAGGTCCTCGAGTACGTCCTCGAATCGTCTAGCTTCTCTTTTTTGAGAAAAGCCAGAGAGAGCTTTTTAGGAGATAGCTCATCCCCTTTTATAGTCGAAGGGGATGGCCTTACAAGTCAGAGAAAGAGAGAGAATGTATACGTGTGCGATCTACTCTTGTTGCCCACGCTGTCGGGTACGAGATGGTCATCGGCGCCTATAATACTGTTTATGTCCAGATGCATGTGGCAGGCTCCACCGTGTTCGCCTGGTATGGCAAACGTCGGTGTCTACAATACTGTTTGTGTTCTGACAGACCTGGAAGGTTGCATAGTGCCCATCTGGCATGCCCTGATGGCACCGTCCTGCAGGTGCGCAGCGTAGGGCAGGGTACGGTCCTCAGTATTGCGGTTTGACTTGAGCGTCTTACCTTATCTGCTCCGCCTGATCCCTGGGCCCTCATCGAGCGGGCGTCCCCGGTCGGTCGTTCCCAGTCAGCCCCGACCGTATCGGTCGGGGAAGAGCCGCGAGCAGAGGTCCGGCGTATCCCCGGTCGAAAAAGGTGGTTGGAGTCGGACTATGTCCCCAGCTTGGCCAGGCATTCCGGTCGGGGACCGGATCGTTCTCCTGGCCTATCATTATGTATCTGGGCCAGCCTGGGAGGTGCACGTTGTCGTTACGCCATCTGATGGGCCGAGTTTTTGGAGGGAAGCGGGTCCATTGGGGACCTCGGGTTTATAAACCCGATAGGAGCCCCCAAGCCCTTTTGGGACTTCTATGAAGTCATGAAGGGGTTGTTTACACTCGTTTCACGGAGCGCACCCAGCGGGTGTAAGATCGTGGGTCGCCGTCGGACGAGACGGAGCGCAAACCCGAAGTGTTGGGTGAGACGGAGCGCCAACCCAAGTGTCGGGCGCCAACCCAAGCGTCGGGTGCGGCCGAGGGGTCGGGCGAGACAGAGCGCCAACCCAAGTGTCGGGCGCCAACCCAAGCGTCGGGCGTGGCCGAGGGGTCGGGTGAGACGGAGCACCAACCCAGGTGTCGGGCGCCAACCCAAGCGTCGGGTGTGGCTAAGGGGTTAGGCGAGACAGAGCGCCAACCTAGGTGTGGGGCGCCAACCCAAGCTCGGGCATGGCCGAGGGGTCGGGCGAGACAGAGCGCCAACCCAGGTGTCGGGCGCCAACCCAAGTGTCGGGCGCGGCCGAGGGGTCGAGCGAGACGGAGCGCCAACCTAGGTGTTGGGCGCCCACCCAAGTGTTGGGCGCAGCCGAGGTGTTGGGCGAGACAGGGCGCCAACCCAGGTGTCGGGCGCGGCCGAGGGGTCGGGAGAGACGGAGCACCAACTGAAAGCTCTAGTTTGGTTTTGGTGAATTGATGAAACCCTATGTGCTAATCTAGTTTATCAAGTGATCATGAGATAGGTAGCACATTCCAAGTGGTGAAGCAAATGAAGATCATGACATGATGATGGTGATGATCAAGTGCTTGGACTTGAAAAGAAGAAAGAGAAAAACAAAAGGCTCAAGGCAAAGGTATAAATGGTAGGAGCCATTTTGTTTTGGTGATCGAGACACTTAGTGAGTGTGCTCACATTTAGGTTCGATAGCCATACTATTAAGAGGGGTGAAACTCGTATCGAAATGCGGTTATCAAAGTGCCACCAGATGCTCTAACTCATTGCATATGCATTTATGATCTAGTGGAGTGCTAACACCCTTGAAAATGTTTTGTGAAAATATGCTAACACATGTGCACAAGGTGATACACTTGGTGGTTGGCATATTTGAGCAAGGGTAAGAAACTTCATCGGTGGAGTGTCCGCCCGTAGAGTGTGGACAGTCCGATGGTGCCACCGGCGCCCTATACAGAAAAGACGAAGGTCACTGTTAGTGACCGGACGCTGGTCACGGTAGGACCAGCGCGTCTGGTCAGTAGTAATAGAGAAGATGCTGGCGTTGGTCTCTGATCGGACGCTGGAGGGCTGTGTCTGGTCCTACTGACGTGGCAACACACAATGAAGAGGGTGACTGATGGAACGCTGGGTGAGTCCAGTCAAGGGTGACCGGACGCGTCCGATCGTGAAAAATCGTCTCTAGATGCTTACTGGAAATGACCGAACGCTGAGGTCCAGTGTCCGGTCACTTCGAGCAGCACGTTCGGTCATCACTTGACCGTTGGGATCAGGCGCTCAGTATTTGATGAGAGGGTACATGTGGCGTACATCGCGCGAACGGACGCTGAGGTCTAGCGTCCGGTCGATCTGACCGGAGCGTCCGGTCACCTCATGTTGTGCCCAGTGAAGGGGTACAACGGCTCTATTTGTGGGGGCTTCTATTTAGGCCCCATGGCCGGCTCGAGCTACTCTCTTGGCCATTCGCATTGATATAGCAACCTTGTGAGCTTAGCCAAAGCCCTCCCACTCATCTCCATCATTGATTCATCATCTTTGTGAGATTGTGAGTGAATCCAAGTGCATTGCTTGAGTGTTTGCATCTAGAGGCACTTGGTGTTCGTGTTTCGCTGCGGGATTCGCTTGTTACTCTTGGTGGTTGCCACCACCTAGACGGCTTGGAGCAGCAAGGATCATCGAGCGGAGGGTGGTGATTGTTTCTGGCTCCGATTGTGCTGATTGTGAGGGGTTCTTGACCTTTCCCCGACGGAGAGCCAAAAGGTACTCTAGTGGATTGCTCGTGGCTTGTGTGATCCTCATCTTGTGTTGGTTGTGCGGCACCCTATTGAGGGTTTGGCGTGTGATGCCAATTAGCGCATGAACCTTCAAGTGATTGAATCGCCACAACGAGGACTAGCTTGCCGACAAGCAAGTGAACCTCGGTAAAAAAATCATTGTGTCATCATTTGATTCCGATGTGATTGGTCTTCATTGGTATTCATTCTTGTGATTGATTGGCTCCTTCCTCGACACGGCAGTATAACCATCTTGCTTACTCTCGTTATATTACCGCAAACTAGTTGTCAAGCTCATTAGTGTAGCTAGTTGTGAGAGCTTGTTAGTTTGGTTAGTGTGGCTCTTTAGTTAGCTTTTGAGAGCACACTAACTTAGTGTTGTGCCGTAGCCATTGTCGATAGAATATCATCGGCAGTCCTCCGAGGGGTATCCCACGAAGGTAGATTGATTGGCAGAGGAGCGTGAGATCAAGAACAAGAAGGCAACAGAGACACACGAGTTAGATAGGTTCAGGCCGTCAGTATGACGTAATACCCTACTCCTGTGGTCTGTTGGTTTGTATTGTCTATCGTCTGATATTGCGTGTGTTTGGAGGGGGTCCCTGCCTACCTTATATAGTCCGTGGAGCAGGGTTACAAGTCGGTTAGATCTAGGAGATAATCGGAAAGTAATAACTAATTACAGGAAACTAGGGATCGTACATATCCTAACAGATCTCGTAGTATCTTCATGATATCTTCTAGATGTCTTGCGGGAGGCGCCGAGCAGAGTCGTGCCCCGTAAGGCTTCATCTTGTGGGCTGGACTGCCCCTGAGGGCACAGCCCATGTGGTCTGCCGTGGGTATCCGGGGTCGTACCCCCCACAGCTAGTCCCCGAGCGCCTTGTACCCGTTGTGCAACACTGTCTTGAGCTTGTCCGAGCAGGTGCGAACATAGCCGAGCAGTTAAACTCATGGTCCGACCACCGTGATGAGTTGCCGAGCAGTTGTGAGCAGTTGCTGAGCAGTTGCTGAGCAGTTGCAAGCAGTTGCCGAGCAGCGTGAACTGTCATCGAGCAGAGTGAACCAAATACGGCTTGCCATAAGGGTGTAAGGAGCTCAAGTTCAGAATAAAAAATTTCCTCATAGTGGACCAAGTGTGCCCACTTAGAGTCCGACCACGAGAAAAGAGATATCCTTCTTCGTCTTCTAAAGGAGCGGAATCTTCCAGAATAAAATGAGCACATTCACCGCAAGGTGAAGTGTGCCCACTTAGTCCCCGGGCCTGATAGTAGATGACACAGTCATGTGGTGCCAAGGTCAGAAACAGATGAAAAATTAGCGGCCAACCGAGCAAGCAGCCAGT